ATGTGATGATGTTAACAGCAATGCGTATGAGACTAATTGTTTTGATAAAATGCTAAATGTAATAGAGGATGATCTTTATGATTGTCTTAAAATGTTTGAAAGATTAATTGGTGATTCAGAGAAACCATTGTATCCTGGTTGTACTAAATACACCAGATTATTAGCAGTTCTGATATTGTACAATTTAAAAGCTACATGTGGATGGACTGATAAGAGTTTCACTTCATTGATTGATGCTTTGACAGATATGTTTCCCACTAATAATGAACTTCCCACCAAGACATATAAGGCTAAACAAATGCTCTGTTCAATTGGTTTAGGCTACGAGAAAATACATGCATGTCTTACCAATTGCATCTTATTTCGTAATGAGTATGCTTCATTAGAGAACTGCCTTAAATGTGAAGCAACACAATATGGAAAGAAATCAAGTCCTGCAAAGGTACTATGGTATTTTCCTATTATATTGAGATTTAGGTACATGTATGGAAATATAGAAATCACCAACCTGTTGACATGGCATGAGAATGAAAGGATCAAAGATGGTAAGCTTAGGCATCCTATAGATTCCCCTCAGTGGAAAAAATTAATTTTGAGTACCTTGATTTTGGGGAGGAAGAAAGGAATCTTCGTCATGCATTATCAATTGATGGAATCAACCCACATAATGTTCAGAGCAGTACTTACAACATATGGCCGGTGATATTAATAATTTATAACCTACCTCCATAGTTATGCTAAAACGTAAGTTTATGATGTTTTTTGTGTTAATTTCTAGGCCTAAACAACCAAAAAATGATATAGATATATATTTGCCCCTTTAATAGAGAATTTAAAATTAATGTGAGACACCAGCGTGAAGGTTTATGATAGGTATAAAAAAAGAAAGTTTTAATTTGAAAGCCATATTGTTTGGCACAATTAATGATTTCCTTGCTTATGAGAATTTGTCAAGATATAGTATTAAGGGTATGGTGCGTGTCCTATATGTGAAAACGACACTCATTCAATATGGTTGGATCATTGTAGAAAAAATGTTTACATGGGACACCATAGATTCTTGCCTTTGACACATCATTGGAGAAAGTGGAGAAAACCTTTTGATGGTGAATCTGAAGAAGAGAAATTGCCTAGTTTGATGATAGGTATGAATGTGTTTGAAAAGGTTAAAGATCTTGACAATGATTTTGGTAAACCCTTTACGAGAAATGTTGTAACAAGTAGGTGAAAGAAAAAATCAATCTTTTTTTATCTACCATATTGAAAGTCCTTACATATAAGACATTTTCTTGATATGATGCATATTGAAAAAATATTTGTGATAGTGTGATTAGGACATTACTCCAGTTGCCAGGAAAAAGCAAAGATAGTGTCAAATCAAGGTTGGATTTTGTTTCTATAAGAATAAAGGAGGATTTGGCTCCAGTGGAGAAAGGAAATTGCACGTATCTACCACCAGCAGCTTACATTCTATCAAACAAAAAGAAAAAATGTTTTGTTGAATTCCTCCATAATGTTAAAGTGCCAGAGGGATTCTCTTCAAATGTAAAGAATCTTGTATCAATTAAAGACTTGAAGTTACGAGAGCTTAAATCTCATGATTCTTATGTGCTCATCCAAAATTTCTTACAAATTGGTATTAGATCTATTTTGCCAAAAAAAATGCAATGCACCATCACTAATTTATGCTTATTTTTCAAGATGATTTGTAATAAAGTGGTTGACTCTATAAATTTTTCAGCCATACAAAGGCAAATTGTTTTGACCCTATATGAACTTGAAATGTATTTTCCGCCTTCATTTTTTAATATCATGGTTCATTTGATTGTTTACTTAGTCAAAGAAGTTTAAATGTACAAGCTAGCATATTTAAGATGGACATACCCGATTGAGCGTTACATGAAAATATTAAAAGGCTATGTAAAGAATAGATATCGACTCAAGGAGTGTATTGTTGAATGGTACATAGTCGAAGAAGAAGTTGAATTGTGTAGAAATTATCTATCCAACGTTAATGCTATAGGGATTCCAAAGTCTTGTTATGATGGATGAAGATCAGGGAAAGGAATAATTGGAAATAAAGTTGTTAGCATCTTAGCAGCCGAATGTGAACAAGCTCATCTGTATGTCCCACACAACACTGAAGAAGTTAAGCTGTTTATGGAAGAACATAGGGATATTCTCAGAGACATGTTTGGCATTAGAAATGAGAATTTTGTGACAAAAGAACACAATCGACAATTTGTAAAGTGGTTTAGAAATCACATTCTTGAGGATTTGGAGAAAAATCCTGATAATGTTTCTGAAAAATTAAGATGGCTGGCTAAAGGACCAAGTTTACAAGTTTTATCTTACACTGGTTACGTAATCAATGGTTATACCTTCTATATCGAAGAATAAGATGATCAAAGCACAATGCAAAATAGCAAAGTAACGCTTATTGTTGGTGGTCAACATGTATCCAGCTCAAAAGACACCAACCCTGTCTATGCAAAAATGTCATACTTTAGTGTCATTGAATGTATATGGAAGTTAGATTACTCTATGTTTTGGGTGCCATTCTTTTGATGTAGATGGGTTAACAATTATAGTGGATTCTAAATTGATAATTTTGGATTTATTCAAGTGGATCTCTCTAAGGTTGAATATAGAGATGGCCCTTTTATTTTAGCTTTGCAAGCTCAATAAGTGTTTTTCATTCCTAATCTTGCGAAAAAGAATTGGTCTATTGTACTTTTATCAAACAAAAAACATGACGATGATGATGAAGCTCATGGTAATGAAGATTGAATATTGAAGATGATTCATTCTATAGGACAATTCAATCTTTTGATAATGATTTAATTGAAGATGAGCACTTGCACATGAGAGATGATCATACACATAGGATATGGGTTGACCTGTCAAGTCTAAATCAAACAAAGGAAAAACAAAAAGTAATTTTATTTTTCATTTTTACTTCTTTCAAATTAATTTACCTTGTTTTTTTCTCATTATGCGTGTGCTAAAGTGTCGATTTTAAATTGAAAGACAATGAGTTCTCACGGCAATGATGAACCTCACACTAGTTCAAATGACGATGATCCTCAAGCAGTAAAGGAAAAAATGATTCAAGATGTTCATCGTGGTAGAATTGTGATGGCCAAATTAATCAAAAATAGAAGCATGGCAATAAAGCTATAAGTTGGTTGGAATATCAAGGATCAACAAATAAAACCAAATAGAAAAAAATTAGTTAGTTATATCAAAGCTTTAGCTTGAGACCATATGCTTATTACATTTACTGATTGGAGAAAAGTTTCGAACGAATACAAGAGATTTATATGAGAACAAGTTGAGGTAAAAAAAGAAGTCATTAAAATTTTATCTTTTTTAATTATTTTTTCCTACACATTTAGTGATCTAAATTATTTTCAATCTTTTTTTTTAATCTTATTTTGAACTTGATAAGACTCATAAAACATATATCCTCAAAAAAGTCAGGGTTCTTCATAGGAAATTTCATGCAAATATTTACAAGTGGTATTTAATAGATAATAGTAAAAATATCATTGAACACCTACCGAAACTTTATGATGGGATCATATCTCAAGAAGATTAAGATGAATTTGTTCTAGTGCACACAATAGAAGAATTTAAGGTAATTAATGTTAGATTTGGCCAATTAAATATAGTTTTGCTTATATAAAATTAACATGAATTCAATTTTCATTTTAACAGTTGAAAAGTGAGCAATACCGTCAATTAGCAGAAAGCCAAAAATATCGCTTCAGAAGGAGATGGAAAGGATACGCATTCATTGAACAAGATAAAGTACATACATTATATTCAATACTTATTACATGCATCTATTATGTATGTTTGAGTTATTTATGAATTCAGTTAATTATTTTAACATATAGATAAAAAAAGACAATTTAAATTGTGAACAACTTACAAAACATAAAGTGTGGGTTGAAGGATGACTAAATTTAAAAGGTGAAATTGAAGATGAAAGTGTGAGGCAAGTTTGGTAGACTTGTATAAGTATTAGTATTTAATTCTTGTTTAAATCTAATATTTTATATGGGAAACTAAATCTAATATTTTATATGATAGCAAAATTTATCACAAGGTCAGAGAAGCACAACAATTTGGCCATGAAGATATCCTTAGCAGAGTATTAAATGTTCCAGAAGTCCTAGGTCTTGTCAGAAGAGTTGGCTTTGGTATTACCCAAACCACTTATTTCGGTGGCAGACTATTTTTTCTTCATTTGAGAATCAATTCTCAGAATTTGAACATTTTTTCTCCAAGAGCATTTATAATTGATTCTAAAAAATTATCCAAATATCTTCAATAATAAAAAAAATATAAGTCTTACCCTTTTCTATGGGAAAAACTTGTATACATAACATTATATAATTAAATCAAGACATGTACATATATTATAAATTATTTCTTCTATAATAAATTATTGTTATTAATATTATTAACATATTAAAATTCACATGTCTTGACTTGATTGCTTAAAAGTATATTAAGTATATAAGGGTAAGTATATAAGTCTTGCCCTTTTTCTATAATCAATTTTTGCCAATTGAAATCCAAACACACCCTTAACCTCTTTCTTTGCTTTTGTTTTCATTTTGTCTTTAATGTTCTAAACTATCCATAAGCTTACTTTAAACAATTAACAATCTTAATCAAAGCTAATTACTATTTTGTTTCTGATAAATGTTAAAATATATCAGTAAACCCACTTTCTTTTAAAAAAAAATTAACAACGACCAGTCATTCTATATACAGAGAAAGAGAGCATCTTTATTTGTTTTTATTATACTCATCTATTCAAAAAAACATTTTGGAAGAATAAAATATTAGGCATATATTAATTTCCCCATAATTATTGTCAATAACAAATTTATCTGCCTAGCAAGGGCTCTCTTAAAATTATTACTGTTAACTTATTATTAATTTTAACATCAAGAAGCTCACAACATTACTTAATAATGTTATTATTAGCTACAACTGAGAACAAACAGTGCACATGAATGTCCTCCCAAACGTGCTTTGGACCCTCCATTTACTATTGTGTTCCTTGAATTCCACAAATCACTGCCATTGCAATTGCTGAAATGCTTCTCAGGAATCACAGTGCCAATATAAGACACGTTCAAATTTATATCGATGGGCCCGTCTTTTAAGTTGAATAATGCCACGTAGATCTCTCCTGTGTCAACAACATTCAAAATACATAGTATGATTAGTTAAGAAGACCAACATTGTAACTTTGGTTGATAATGAGACATGACATGTTTTTTATTATGAGAAAAACTATCATGTGTTTCATTCTATTTTTTTCCTATAAGCAAAGTTATAAATTTCAAGAAGCATTTATCACTTTTTTTTTTTGAATTGTCACTCAAAAAAATTAAAGTTTAGTTTCATGAGATAAATTTGTTTCATTAATTACAAGGCTAATTTATTCTAAAGTTTTTAATTTCAGACATAATTATTATACTTAACAAACTTTATTAAATTATGTGAGTTGATTATTTTTCTCTTATATTTAAAAATAGAGGAAGTACTATAAGTAAAAATCGCCAAAGATATTAGCATAAAAGGGGGATCATTGCAGTAACTTCCATGTGTTTTGATAGACAAGATAGTCTTGACCTTTGCCTTATATATAGGTTTAATATGCTATTTGAACTCTAAACTATAGGTTCAAAAGTAATCTGAACCCTAAACTCATATTGATACATTCTAAATTTTAAATAATTAAATGGGGCAATTTTGCCCCTACCTTCAAATCAAAACAAACATCATTATTTTTTTGTTAATGGGGCCTAATGCACAACTTTCCTCAGAGAAAGGTAGGAGAGAGAGGGAGAGTGGAATTTGAGGAAAATTGCACGTCAAGCCTCATTTTTTTTTAAGGTAATGACGTTTGTTTTAATTTAACCATGAGATCAAATTGCCCCAAGTTTAATTATTTAGAGTTTGTAATATACTAAATACGAGTTTAGGATTAAAATCACCATTAATTTTTAGTTCAAAGTTTAAATTGTATATTAACCCACACACACACATATTCCCCAATTCATCTAATATACTCCCTCTGTTTAAAAATATAAGGTATTTTTAACCAAATTTCACCCCCAATAAAATAGTTATCTACTTTCAAACCAACTCTATCTTTCCATATTCACCTCTATTAAACACTCTACAATAAATATAAAGTCATTAATCAATAGGGGTGCTTTTGAAAAAAAGGCAATGATTGCGCCTCAAAAAACTAAAAATGCCTTATATTTTTTAACATTCAACTCCTCAAAAAATGCCGTATATTTTCAAATAGAGGGAGTATATACATATGCATAAAATATATATGGTATAAATCAAATGTAAAATTCAAAATGTTCAACTAAAGAATTGGAGATCATATATGAATTTATAACTATAATATATAGACAAATAGATTGATCTAATAGATGTTCGCATAATTTATTCTTTGATCTTGAGATAGTCAAAATTTGAATATAAAGCTAGAATCATACCATTTCTTCCTGTTGCAATCCAACTGCGAACTCCGGCAGCATCACTATGATACTGTCACCCAAGAAAAAGAAAAGAAAAGAAAAGAAAACTAAATAATATTATCTTCTCCAAAATTAGATTATTTTATTTTATTTTTAAACAAAGTTAATAACTCAATCACTTATCCTTAATTCTGGTAAGATAATTAGAGATGCCTCATAATAGGAATCAGAGAGAGAGTATTTCATATGTGCTTGTCGCTCAAATTAAAGCAACATGTTGCTAACCTTAGGCCCGGCAATAATCAAATATGACCCAATTAAATAATTATATATAAAAGAAAAAAACACACACACAGAGAGAGAGAGAGAGAGTTGAGAATTCACATGCCTCCATATTGTTTGAGCTGTGAGAGTTAATCTCTAGAAGTGTAGGATTTGTGAGAAGAAGAAATGTCCTGAAATCAAGCTTCGTCAGGTCTCCACCAATCATTAGTGGAGATTTTGCCATACTCCACAGAGTCATCTGTGAAAGTAATTAATCATAAGAATATGTTATTCAATCATACATTCATAATATATCCAATCAAGTTAAATAATCATCTAATTCATTAATTATTTAATTTGTGCATTAAAATTTTGAACGACATCAATTACCTCTGTTCTTTCCTCTGTCGCTGTAAGATTAGATCTCCTTTGTGCACCATCCTTGGAATCTACACTTAAAAAAAAACAAAGAAAGTTATTATATTGATAAAATATAATTATGTCATTTTTATGGAGTGTTTATGTGGCCTAGTCACATGGTAAGTCTAAACTAATTCATCAGCATATTGAACCAAGAAACACTAACAAAAAAAAAACAATAATTTTCTCTCGAAAATAATTCTTCAAAATTTTTTTCTTTGAACTTAATTATCTCAGAAAAGTTCATCTAGACTTTCTCTTTGAATAAGAAATGGGGAAAAATTCTGAAAGAAAATAGAGAGAAAGTGCCCACCTAATAGCGGGAAAAAGTTATGAGAATGTTTTTATTGACAAGAAAAAATTGGAAAAAACATCATGAAAATAATATTACATGAAATTCCTCTAAAAATTCCAAGAGAAAATTTCTCCTGAAAAATTCCAAGAAAAATTTAATATTCTCTCAGAATTTGCCTGGGGAAACCATCAGAGTCGATCTTGGGAATCCTTCTCTGAATTAATAAAAAAAAATACAAGAACTTGTGTAAAAAATTATTTGTTAAAAAGAAAATTTTATTGTATTCAGAATTGGGGGAGTGATCACCGGAAGATACCATATTTTACCTTTAAATTTGAGTCATTTTTCTTCATTATATATTAGTTATTTGAAAAAATTAATTATTTGGTCTCTATAATTTTGATCTAATTATAACTCAATCATTAAACTTTGACTTGTTATAATTCAGTTCTTATAGTTTGAACTCGATTGTAAGTCAGTTCCTAAACTTTGTCTCTTATAATTTAGTCCCTATATTAAAATTTTAAATTATTTTTAATTTTTATAATTTTATTTTTTTAAAAAAAATATAGGGACCAATGTTTAAGTTATTGAAACTATAAAGAATAAATTGTAAGAGACAAAGTTCAAGAATTGAGTTATAATGAGTTAAAACTATAAAAACTGAGTTACGACAAGTCAAAGTTCAGAAATTGAATTGCAATTGGATCAAAATTATAGGGACTAAATGATTAGTTTTTTCTAATTACTAAGTTTAGCTTCATTTGATGTGTGACTTTTCATATTGACCTATATCCATTCCCATTTGGATAACTTGTTAGCAAGTGGACCAAAATCCTATCGAATTTCTATGACATGTAATTCTACGAGGAAAAAATATACAGAAAGAAGTAACATGCAACCTGGAACTGCTAGCCACCCAAATGGTAAAACATCCAAATCAGGCCATGTATTACCCAACAAGCCTTCTAGTCCTATTAATCCAACAGCAGCGAAATCCCTGAAAGAAAGAAATTAATTTGATTGATCAGTTGAATTAAATCACATGAACTTGATGACAAAATAATTAAGAAATAAAAAATTCTTCAACACAAAAAAAAAGTTGTTATGTTAATATATCAAATTAATCACCTTGCTATATCAAATTGATTTTTCAAGATTCCCCATTGATCCTTGTTATTGGGAGTTACTCGATACATGTTAACCATTAAAGAGACATCAGTACCCATTTCTGTCGTTGTAGTTGCTCCAGGTGACACCGAAAGGACTATTGGTCTAGGAGACCCATTTATAATCTAGCAATGCCACGTCAGATCACATAGTTATTAGTTTACCAAAGAGTTTTTAATTTGTTTTTGAGAATCAAAGTCAAGTCTCATCACACAATAATTCTAATTGCCCTAAAATCATATAAAATTCATATATTGCTACCAAATCTCAAGTCCCTAACATGAAAATAACTTCGTCTATGCAATTAGAGAAATACTTTTATCTTATTTTATTTTATTTTTTAAAAAAATTTATCTTATTTTACCTAGATATAGGAAGATTTTGGCGAGAAAACTTTACTTCTAAATTTATCCAAAATGTCACTTCCCACCCTCCTATATTTTCATCATTATAGACATATGATTGTAGTTTAAAATTTTTATATTATTGTTTATTCAATAATTTTATAAATAAAATTTTAAAATAGATAAAATAATTTGTAATAAATATATATCTATTTCATTAGTTTTTGTGGAAATTTTTTATCCCATTAGTAATATATAATGAAAATTATATAAATAATATATTAAAATTTTAAATTTTATTATATTTAAATATTTTCTATAAATAATAAAGTTACCATTGTTCATATGAAATTAACAATTTTTTCCTTCTTGTTTTCTGTTTGTTGATCAAATATAAAAAGAGAAAATCATATTCCTTCATTTTTTCTCTTTTCTCCTTTTTCTCTTCAATCTTTTCAATTTCTTTCCTCTCATTTTTTTTCTTCCTATTTTCTTTGATTAGCCAAGCACTAGTCTAGGTAAAGTTTTTAGTGCGTCCTTATACATCGTATGGACATGAGGAAGTATACATATTCCCTTTAGTTCTTATTATAAAACATTTTCAATAATTTCACATATATTAAGAAAAGTTATATTTTTTCTAGATATCACAAAAAAGTGATATATATACTTTTTTTTTTACCATTGACTTTAAATAATAATACAAATATATTACATATCTTGATGGTAATCAAGAAGGGGTGAAATCAGGAAATAAAAAAGTGGTTTAATTCTTATGAGGCGTCTTATATTTTGGACTAAAAATTATTTTTAAAACATGTCTTATAAATAGGACTGGAGGGAGCATCTTATACTATACCAAGCTACAATATATTCATAAACCATCAACAATGAAACTTAAAAATCGTAATGCAGAAGAAAACGCGTCTAATATAATTAAAACATATGGGAAAAAAGGAAAAATAGCAATGAAGGACCTCTGGAGAATTTGTATTAGTCAAGGGTCAGTTGTTATTAAAATTCAAATAAAAAATAAATTTGAATGAACTATTATCAATTTAGAATGAGTTGTTATTAAAACACAAAAAAGATACTTGTTGATAAAAAAAACCAACCCGAATTAACAAGTATAATTCGGTTTTGACATCAAGTTATGCTTGACTGATATAAATTTGCTCGAGCAGTCCTTCATTGATATTTTTTCCCAAAAAAAAAGAAAAATGGGAATGGCAGCTGTGGTGGCCCCAAAAGAAGGGGAAGAAAGGAGTGAGGTTTCGATACATCTAAAAGTTCATGTACATATAACTAAAGATTCATCAATCCGTACTTATATTATTGTATATGCATGAACTTTTAGTTATACAGGACCTCACTGTATTCCCCCCCCCCCCCTAAGAGGCCCTCATTGCCATTCTTCAAAAAAAGTGGGGGTGGGGGAGAGATGACTCTAGTAGATACCTCTGATACAGCAGTTATTTCATCCACATTGTAATGATCTCCAAACACGCAGTCAAGTTTCACTACCAAAAGAAAAAAAATAACGGGGTAACAAAATCCGTGTTAATTACATTATGATAGTTGACACTAAAAAAATAATAATCATGCATCGTGGTCTCATTTGCAGACATGTATTTCCATATTAAATATTCTTGGTTAATTAAATTATACCAGTCTAGGAGCATCTAGGTCCTAATTTTTTTTTTCAATATTTATCTTTTAACTTTTAAAAACAATACCATGTCATCTTTATTGTTAACAAAAGTTAACTTTGACCATTATTGATTAAAAAATTAGAAAATGACTCAATTATTGACAATGACTCCAAAAAAAAATTTGACAATGACTTCAAAAAAAAATTTGGTTCTTTACTGTAATCTTTTTATTAACTAATAACGGTTAAAAATGAATGTAATTAGGGACGTACCAAAATCAACACCCCATGATTCATACATAGTGTAGAGAGAAGTCAAGAAGAGTTTAGCAGCTGGCAAGGTTGTATCAATGGCCAAGAATTCAGGAGCATAGCTACAAGGTTTACTCCTCAATGCTATGCCTCTCGCGTACCAATTACGCCCACGATTATCCCTGTATGTTCTTCCCTAATAAAAAAACTAATTAATTAATTTCAACAATAATAATTAGCTGAAGTAAATTAATTAACCTCTCTATAACTAATATTAAGAAAAGTAATGTGTCTCGTATAATATTTGTTTTTTTTTTTTTTTATCCTCACATTTTGAGGTCAAAATTAATCCTTTTTTATGTGCATGCAAGGAAGAATATGATCTATATTTATTAATTCATATAAAAAACTTTATGATTATTCCTTTGGTTCTATTTATAGGGCAAAGAAAGAATATTAATTTTGATCCTATTTATATGACACTTTACTATTTTTTATGTTCATATTCACCTTTTTGCCCTTACTAAATTCTAGAAAAAATTATTAAAAATAATATTTTGTCCTTATTAGAGGGGTAGAGGTGAAAATTTATTAAATTTTAACATAAAGTTAATAAGAGTTAAGGATTTTCTTAATTCTAGTGAAACATGCTAGAAGCAACTTATAAATAGAATTAGAAGGAATAATATTTTTTTTTTAACTACAATATGGATCCTCCAATCTTATTTATAAGGTATAGAAAGAAAAAAATTTTAAGTCCTATTAAGTCACATCATTAAATTTTTATCATAGTTTTTTTCTTTTTACCCTCAATTAAGTGTTGGTGAAAGAAAGTATATTAGTAAGGAATGTATATTTAATAAGGAAAAGTTTAAAACTTATAAAATTTTTACACAAGGTTAATGAGTTTTATGGTTCATTTAGTTTCAATGAAAAATGTTAGACACAACTTATAAATATGATTAAAGGAGTATATGCCAAAGTCTCAAATGTACTTAAAATTAAACCATTGATTTTTGAGTGATACGTAAATGCCATTCTTTCTGATCAAATAAATAAAATAAATAACATTCTTGATTTTTGACAATGAATCACTCTAGAATTTGATTTTTTTTTTTTTTTGGTTGCAGATAAATCTATTATGTTGTTAATGAAATGCAACATGTGTTGAAAGGATTTCCTAAGCAAAAGATCGAAGACTTCAGGGCGTTGATATATCATACTTCACGTTTAAGAAATTCATTATTAATTAATTAATCTTCAAATGTCAAAAGCATTAATTATTTACATATAATCCAACATTAAGGGAATTTCAGTTAACTTGACAAAAACATCAAATAATGCCTGATAAAGCAAAGAATGTAAAATTCAGCATTTAAAATGTAAAATCATCATATAATATTCCAATCTTTAATAGAAGAATAATTTGCCCCACCTTCATGCTTATAAAGAAATGACAATTATATTCAGTGTTATGAAAAACTAGACCAAACTGATCGGTTCAATTGGCTGA